GTGTCTGGAACGGTTTCTGGGACAGATTCGGGTACATTTTCTGGAACGGTTTCTGGGACAGATTCCGGTACATTTTCTGGAACGGTTTGGGACAGATTGCGGGATATATTTTGGTATAATAATTTCTCAAGGTTGGTGTTCATCAATTGTCACTTTCTCCCCCTGAATGACAACCTTGGAATAAAAGGCATTCCCTTCATAAAATGTGACATCTATAGTGTGATAGATTCGTCTTTTCTGAGGACAATAACATTTATATCCTTTCTTGGTAGGAGAGTATCTCAAAAATATACATTTGATGGCTTTTGGGTCCAGCTTGTTGGGATTTGGTTTTTGATCATGTACAAATGCAGTACATCCAAAAATCTTTGGTGGGAGATTTTTGATGAGTTTAGTCGAAGGATAAAAGGACAAGAGGGTTTGGTGAGGTGTGTTTAGGTTGAGTGTTTTGGAGGGCATTCTATTTATTAGGTATGATGAAGAAAGAACTGCATCTCCCCAAAAATGGCTAGGTACATTCATGGACAGCATAAGGGCTCGAGTGACTTCTAATAGGTGTCTATTTTTCCTCTCTGCTGTTCCATTTTGTTGGGGAGAATATGGACATGAAGTTTGGTGTACAATTCCATTTTTGGGAAGGTATGTACCAAGGGTGTGGTGGAAGTACTCCCCTCCATTATCAGTTCTTAGGATTTGAATGTTGCTTTGAAATTGGGTTTGAACCATTTTATGGAAGTTCTCAAATATACCCCCTACCTCTGACTTTTCTTTCATGAGAAACACCAAAGTGACTCTTGTATGGTCATCAATAAAGGTGACAAACCACCTTGACCCAGTAATATTGCTCACTCGTGAAGGTCCCCACACGTTACTATGAATAAGGGTGAAAGGTTTAGATGGCTTATAAGGTAGTATGGAATAATAAGACTTGGTGTGTTTGGCTAATTCGCACACTTCGCATTTGAAAAAACCAGAATCTTTATTAAATAATGATGGAAACATCTTTTTCAAATATATAAAATTTGGGTGTCCTAGGCGATAATGCCATAACATTACATCATTCTCATTCTTTGATGAACACGTAAGGGCAACCTTGTATGATCTTTTATTTTGTTCTTCAACTCTTAGGTAGTAAAGGCCTGCACTCTCCTCAGCATTGCCAATCATCTTCCCTGAATTCATATCCTGAAATTCGCACAAATTTGGTAAAAACTTAGCAGTACATCCCAAATTTTTTGTTAGTTTACATATAGACAACAAGCTACAATTTAATTTTGGAACATGTAAAACTGAATCAAGAGTAATATCTTTAGTGATAATCACTGAACCTTTACCAGCCACTTTAGAGGTACTACCATCTGCTATTCGAACAAAAGATCCATCTTGACAGAGAGTGTATTTGGTAAATACATTGATGTCCCCAGTCATGTGATCCGATGCGCCAGAATCAACAATCCATTGGTTTGTTTTCTGGTGATTAACATGAAGAGCAGTAGAAAAATTACCTTTTTGGACAAGAGTAGCAGTGGAAGAAGTACTAGTGTTTTGTATTGTTTGTTACATCATTTTCTGTAACATCTCTATTTGTTCTTTGTTGAAAGGGCTTGCCTCTGCAGTACTTTTGGATTTGCTTTCATCAACAGCAGCAACATATGCGCGTGTATCCTTGAATCTTTGTTTCAGATATGTGGGTTTCCCGTGAAGCACCTAGCATGTTTCCTTTGTATGTTCGGGACGCTTGCAGTGGTCACACCATCCTCAACCTTTCTTTGGTGGGCCTCTTGCTACAAGGGCTGAACCTTCAGTGTTTGCACTTTGACTTTCCAACATAACTTTTCTTCTACTTTCTTCCCTTCTTACTTCTGCAAATGCTTCACGAATGCTAGAGAGAGGTTTAGTTCCAAGAATCCTTCCCCTTACTTCATCTAAATTTTTATTCAGTCCCAATAAAAATTGATAGATTCTATCTTTCTCGATCAATTTTTTGTAGATTTTTTCATCCTCCGGACACTTCCACTCTGTGTCAGCATAGATGTCGAGTTGCTGTCAATACTTTGTGAGAGTGTGATAGTACTCTGTTACTAGAGAGTCTCCTTGTTGAAGGTTATGTAAGAGACTTTTGGTCTCAAATATGGCTGAAGTGTTATCCACATTTGAGTGGGTCTCCTTGGCTGCATTTCAGATTTTTGCAGCATTGCCATAATACATGAAATTTTCACCACACTCATTTGTCATGGAGTTGAGTAACCATGACATCACAAGACTGTTTTCAAGTTTCCACTTTGCATGGTTTGAATCAGTCTTTGTTGGCTGCTTAGCGTCGCCGGTGATGTAGTCTTCCTTTCCCTTTCCTTGGAGGAAGAGTCGGACAAATCTAGACCAGTGTGTATAATTTATCCGTTGAACTTGTAACAAGTAATGAGAATTGTCTCATTATGACTGGTGGTGTTTCCAGTCGCTGCCTTTGGATCAGCATCTGAGATGCTTGAGGTGTTTGTTTTTTCCTCCATGGAAAAATTTAATTTTTTTTTTCTGGATTAGAACGGTAGCTCTGATACCATGTAAAAATTCTGTATTTCTTATTGAGTTTGTATATAATAGAATAGGATATATATAACCTAGGGAGTACAAGTAACTAAAGAAACTAATTAAGTTCTAATTAACTCAAATTAATCCCTATATACAAGAATGGAAATATTCTATATGGCTGTATAAATAAGTATAAATATATTCATATAATACAGTTATAAAATCTGCATTGATGTCCCTTATTAATGGCTGCATATCTGTGCTTTAATGGTTTCAGATTAGCAACCACCAAGGGTGTCCTAAGCTTGTATGTCACAAAACATATTTATTAGTAGCTATGGATGAAGGGAAATTAATATGCTGAGATGATGAAGCAATATCATGAGTAGCAACATTAATATTAGGAGACAATAGACAAACAGAATCAGTTTCATAGATGAATCATTAGTACATAAGGAAATATAGCTGTATGTATCATTTGAATTCAGTACATGATTGCTAGAATTGCTAAAAGTACAATTGTCAGAAGACAAAGAAACACATGTATTAAGGCTGGGAAGGGACTTAGATAGTTGTGAAGTTGGATTGAGAAATTTGTATAGGCCATCAGCTCCAACAAAACCACGAAGAAGAACTTCAAATGAAGCCTGTGATTTGACAAGATAAAATTGAGGGTGAAACTCAAAGAAAACATGATTATCCTGAGCGAATTTACTAACACTAATAAGGTTTCTGGTGATGTGAGGCACAAGCAAAAGATTGTGTAGGGTGAGAACATGTTAGGATGGTTTGGTAAGGGAAATTGCATAGAGCCTACAGAGTTGATAGACAAACCTTGGCCGTTTCCCATGAACACTTGCTCAGATCAAGGCATTGATATAGAGTCAGACAAATTTGAAGCATCAGGAATAACATGGTGAGATGCACCTGAGTCTATACCACCATTGATTGCTTAAATTAGGATATGAACCTGCAAGGAAAGCTTGAGGCAGAGGAGAGCGTGGAAGAGCAGATCTTGGAGCTGCATATCCAAAGGGAGCTGGATACATGGGACGTGCAGTCATCGTGAAAAGATTGAAGGAAGGTCTCTGAGGGAAAAACATGGCAGCGTTGAAGTTCGAATAACGGTGATAACAAATGGACACATCATGTCCAGACTTGTGACAGATCTGACATTGAGTTTTGCCAAAACGACCTCCTCCACGGCCAAAACGGCCACCTCCACGGCCAAAACGTCCACCTCGTGAGTTGTAGCCATGATTCTCAGCGTTAGCAGTGACATGACCCGTACTTTGAGGAAACGACTCAGTACCAGTGACAGACGATTCAGTGGTGGCCCGAAGGTGACGGCGGAACCTGTGTCAAGCTCACCGACGCCAGCTCAGTGATAACAGCTTTCTGATGCTTCTCCAATCGTGATTCATGCGTTAGGAGACATGACTCAAGCTCATCAAGAGAACCTAGATCTTCCTTACTGTTCACAGCGGCAACAATGGAGTCGTATTCCTCAGGAAGCGCATCAAGTACTATTTCAATTAGGTTACGAAGAGGAACGAGATCTCCAACTAAAATAAGTGATTCACTGGTTTCGCGAACACGAACCATGAAATCCTCAATCGCAAGGGATCCTTTCGTGAGACGACGCAGTTCCGAACGGAGTTGGCGCGCTTTGGTAGTGAGTAAGGTGGTGAAGTAGCGATGAACTTCAGTCCCTACCTGCCATGAGTGCTTGCAATCAACAAGCTTAGGAAGAAGCGAATCAGAGGTTGTGGATAGAAGCCACGTACAGATAAGCGCATCTTGTTGCTCCCAATCAAGATACACCGAGTTAGCACTTTACGGTGACAAATTGCTGCAGCTTGTGACTGCGAACGACGCCATCAATTTGTTACTTCCACTGCTTGAAGTTCTTATCATCAAGCTTGACAGAGATGAGATGTGAAAGCTTGATATGAGACGACGGAAACAGAGAATCCATGGAAGTGTTCTACTGGATCGAAAAAGAAGCTCTAGATACCATGATAGAATTGCATAATGCAGTTAGGGAATTCTGTTAGGAAATTCTCATTGTATTTCATAATGAAAGAGATACAATGAACTCTCATTATATAGAGAGTTTGCTGTAACAGAAAGCTAAAAGAAAGCTAACTAACTCTTTACAGCTCAGCTCAACAATACAGCTCAGCACCTAACTATAATGTAAACTGCTAACTAATATACTAACTCTATCATCATGTATCATGCCTTCAATGCATGGCACCCATGTTACTTAGTGCTGTACAAACTTGTCATCAGTTTTTAAGTATAAAAATCTGGTATTGCTATGGTGGCTGCTGAAACATTTACGATATGAGTTATTATCATTTTATCAGTGATTATTGGATTTTTTTTTCTGTTCAGTTGAAATCATGCTGTATTTCAACTTGCTTGAAAATATATGCTGAAGTGCTCCATGTATTTTATCGATGCAGCAATCTTGCAATTTCCAGCTATTCATAAGAACAAGCCTCCAAGATCTGGTTATCGACGGGCAAAAATTAATCGTAAGATGCCACTTTTTTTGCCTTAAATCCTAGGAATTGACTTGTAGAGTGGTGCTTGGTATTTCTGCTCATTCAGAAGCTGCAGTCAGTTGTATAAATATGAAGTTACAATATTTTCAAAAGCAACATAGAGAAGATATAGCCACTGACGTTTGTATTTTGGGCTTAATCATTGACTAATTTTATCCTTGTGTGTTTTGTATTCTGGCTGCAGCATCTACTTGGGAGATCAGAAATTTAAACACACCTATGGCATCAAATAGCCCAAGATGTCTAGTGACCCACACTTTGGAACTACATTCTGCATCCTGGAATCGATGGAAGAACAAACAGTGCTCAAAATTTGAGAGGAGCATTTCTTATGCGTTACTGTGCCAAGTGGCAGGTTAAGTTTTTGAGCTATCCTTTTCTTCTTACATCTCTCTAAAGTGTCTAGAATTTCTGGCAGTTGAGATTATAAAAAATATGTGGCTCATGCTAATTGTTTATAGTGTGTGTTTGGCCCAAACTAATTACATATACAATAATAAAAACAAGGATTTATAAATTACTAATTGGAGTAACTCTATAGTTGCCCATTTACTGTAATTCTGACACTTCATCTTAAGCTGGAGCATATAAATCAAATGCATCAAGCTTTCAAATGCATGAAACTTTCTTTGTAATCAATCTGAGGAACTCTAAATAGCTTAGTGATTACTACCAATTGGTCATTTGAATTCATAAAGCTCGTTGTAATGTCTTCTGATAAGATCTTCTCCCAAATGAATTGACAATCTATCGTAATGTGTTTCGTTTTCTCACGGAATGTTGGGTTGGAATCAGTTCTTCTTCACCCACAACTTGGCCTATGGAAGGTGACTATAAATATCCCAACCTCTAGGATTGGGAGGATTCATTCACTATTCAGATATTCAACATACCTAAAACCCTCTTGCATTCATCACACGAGCAGGGTGCCCCTTAATGTATTTTCCACAAGTACATTTCACAAATATCTACAATGATATATGATTGGATGCTTGTATAAGACTGTTTTACATTGTTCTGTGTATAGTAGTTGAATTCGTATTCTTTTAAAATTCAAAACAAGAAAAGAAAATTGCTTCCTATGCCCTTTTGGCATGCCTTGTATTCTCATATTGAACAATTTGTCTGTGACTACTATTCAAGAGACATTAAATAGATGTTGTTAAATAATTGTTTAGGTCTAAAGGAATATATCGCAGCCAATCCAGCACTCCACCAAGAAAATGCCACCACAATAGTTCACTCCCAAATATCAGATTCTTCCATTTCCAGTTCTGAATATGAGGATGAAGTACAAGATGAGTTTTATGATGCAATTGCTGCTGAATCATCGTCATCGGGTGAAGAAAGTGACGACGAGGAGAAGCATGATCCAAAGGTTTGCTCATTTCTTCTTATCAACTATAGAAGTACTACCTCCATTCCAAATTATAAGACGTTTTGGACATTTCACACGAATTAAGAAACTTAATTATTACTTTATGGGAAAGACAAATTAGATACGACTTTATGGTAATGTCCTTCATAATTACACAAAAGAGAGAAACTAAAAGAGTTGAATGAATAAATAATAATAAATACTTGAGGATATATTGGGGAAAGTGTCATTAATATTGCATTGGAAATGTAAAGTGACTTATAATTTGAGACATATTTTTTTAGCAAAGTGACTTATAATTTGGGCCACAGGGAGTAGTTTATAGTAGATATTGGTACTTTTTGTGTGTGATTGATCTGAAATAAAGAAAAGGCATTTGTTTTGTTAAGTTCTGTTGTTTAATATCCTATTCAATTTAACAGGAGTCAAGAGTCAAACTAAAGAATGTTTCATGGGCAATCACATCCTTAGCTTTGAAGCGAACTACAGGTCAGCTTTTCCTTTGTTTGCTTGCTTGGTATTTGCTAGGGTTAAAGGACGAGAGCTATTTTTATCTTTTGTACATGTTAGTTCCATGTACTTAGACTATCCAATGAACATATTTGCCTTTTCAGATCGAACTTTGATCATGTCAAACACACTTAAAAACACCTTTAGCCGGTCAAAGAAAACCGATCAGCCGCCAAGAACGTGACTATGAACCAACTCTTTCTAATTTAGGAAAAATAAAAGTGGACCAAATATTGGGAAGTTGGGAACTACCCCTTTAACGTAGCACAATATAGGCGTTGAAGGTTGCAATGAAGGCAAGTCAAATGCCACTTAGGCCACTAGGGGAGGACCACAAATAAAGGCAGAAATTCCAGCACATCCCCTCACACTCGGGCCTCAATGAGCCTGAAGTGTGGATGATGTGGGAAGCCTAACAGCATATCTAAGATAGGCTCTGATACCATCTTAGAACTAGGCGACTAGGGGAGGACCACAATAAAGGCGGAAATTCTAACACACCCCCTCACGCTCGGGCCTTAATGTGCCTGAAGTGTGGATGATAAAGGAAGCCCAACAGCATATCTAGGATAGGCTCTTATGCCATCTTAGAATTTGGGTTCAACTTAGCTTGTAAGGTGAGGAGGGTTGTCCAAGTTTTATAAACACTACGTATGTCATATCTCTAAGCAACGTGGGATTAAATCCATCCCCTTTAAATCCAACGCAATATAAGTGTTGGATGCTGCAATGAAGACAAGTCAAATGCCACAATTAGACAACTAGGGGCAGACCGCAATAAAGGCGGAAATTCCAACAGAAAGATTGATATTATGTAATACCATTTTTTAAAATGGCAGTTGTTTAGGGAGAGAGACCATGGAAACAAAGGAGAGTTAAGTAGAAGAAACACTTTCTTTTTACTAATTACTCATAATAATGCTCATGCATGCATAAGCTGGTCTACGCCTACATTTTTTCAATGATAAAAGAACCTTTTAAAACTAAATTTGGGTGCACAGTAACATGGTAATATATTATTTTCCTTAAAACACTGTATATTAATGTCACTATTTATAAGGCAGGAACAGTAAACTTGGAGAGGAACATGGTGATTTGTTTTATTTCAGAGATACATAGAAAATACTAAATTTCATTATATGAGTGAGACTGAGATATGTCAATGTTAATCTGTTGCAAATGATTGTTAATTAGGAAATAATCTTTGCAGTTATTGTGAATAATTTACATTTATAGAATAGGAAATTAGTCATTATAAATTGTAATTAGTCATTATCAGCTATAATTAGTTATTATGAGTTGTAATTACCGACACTATTATATATAGTATGAAAGGCAATGAGAAAGGCATCAAGCCAAATTTCGTGACATGGTATCAGTAGGTTCGATCAAACCTGGAAAATATTATTATATTGGCTGATCAGCGATACCCCACTGGTTCGCTCTCGTAATTGTGTTCGTTTCGAAATTCTTTCGTTTGAAATCGAAACCTTGCAGCTGTCTGAGATTCTAAATCTTTGGTTGCCGGTTCGTGATTTCGTCTTGGAGATTCTCGTTGTTGCGCTGATATTGCAATCAATTTTTTTTTGGTTCTTGGCTGTTGTTGCTTCGTGATTCTGGATCGTCATAATCTTCTGTTTTGCCGCTCCTTCCAAATCGTGGATTTGATCGTGCTGTTGTTCGTTGGTTCGTGGGTATTGTTTCTTGTTGCTGCTCTAGTAATTGTGATTACAGTTACTGTTATTATATTATAGTTATTATTATTATTATTATTATTATAATTATTATTATAATAATAATAAAATAATATTAGTGAGATTGTATCTGGTGGTTTAATAATTTAGATGGCTTCCGAAAAAGAAAGAGATAATTTTTGTGTTCGTTTTACCGGCAAGAATTATTCGGCATGGGAATTTCAGTTCAAGATGTATGTTAAAGGAAAGGGATTATGGAGTCACTTAGATGATGTTTCTAAGGCACCAACGGAGAAAACTGCTTTAGATGCGTGGGAAACTAAAGATGCTCAAATTATCACTTGGATTCTAAACAGTATTGATCCTCAGATGATAAATAATTTGCGTTCTTTTTCAACTGCTCAAGAAATGTGGAATTATCTGAAGCGCATTTACAACCAGGACAATTCGGCAAAACGTTTTCAGTTGGAGTTAGACATCGCCAACTACAAACAAGGTGATTTGTCTATTCAAGAATACTATTCTGGTTTTTTAAATCTTTGGGCAGAACACTCTGCTATTATACATGCTAATGTTCCCAAGACCTCTCTTGCGGCTGTTCAAGAGGTCTACAACACAAGTAGGCGAGATCAATTTCTTATGAAGCTTCGTCTAGAATTTGAGGTTGTCAGAGGTGCTTTGCTAAATAGGAATCCTGTTCCTTCTTTGGATACATGTGTTGGTGAACTTCTCAGGGAGGAACAACGTCTCCTTACTCAAGGAACCATGTCTCATGATACTGTCAGTTCTGAGCCTGTGGCAATTGCATATGCTGCTCAAAGTAGAAATAAAGGTCGTGATATGCAACATGTCCAATGTTTTTCTTGCAAACAGTTTGGACATATTGCTCGTAGCTGCAGTAAGAAGTTTTGTAATTATTGCAAACAACAAGGTCATATCATTTCTGACTGTCCCACGCGTCCTCCACGACCAGCACATCATTCGGTGAAGGCATTTCATGCCACTACAGGCCATACAATTGGCTCTTCCACCACTGGTGCATCAGATGACAATGCTCTACAACCTGAAATGATTCAACACATGGTACTTTCTGCCCTTTCAGCCTTGGGTATTAAGGGTAAGTCTTCTCATGTTTCTCGTCCATGGTTTATTGATTCTGGTGCATCCAATCACATGACAGGTTCATCTGAAAACTTGCACAATTTACATTCTTATCATGGTAATCAGAAAATTCAGATTGCTAATGGTAATACCTTGTCTATCACTAACGTTGGGGACATAAACTTGGATTTTCAAAATGTGCTTGTCTCACCTGGACTTGCTTCTAATTTATTGTCTGTTGGTCAATTGGTGGACAATAATTGTAATGTTAATTTTTCTCGATCTGGTTGTCTTGTGCAGGAGCAGGTGTCGGGGAAAGTGATCGCGAAGGGGCCTAAAGTGGGAAGATTGTTTCCAATACAGTTTATTTCTAATCATTTGTCTCTTGCTTGTCATAATGTTTTGAATTTCTATGAGGATTGACATAGAAAACTAGGTCATCCAAACTCTTCTGTTTTGTCTCATTTATGTAAAAGTGGCTTGTTGGGAAATAAAAATGTTATTCCTGATGCCTCTGTTTCATGTTCTGTTTGCAAATTGGCTAAAAGTAAGACACTTCCTTTTCCGTCTGGTGCTAATCGTGCTTCCACTTGTTTTGAGATGATTCATAGTGATGTATGGGGAATGTCTCCTGTGGTTTCTCATGCTCACTATAAATATTTTGTCACATTTATTGATGATTATAGTCGTTTTACTTGGATATATTTTCTCTGTTCTAAATCCGAAGTGTTTTCTATGTTTAAGAAATATTTGACATATGTTGAAACTCAATTTCAAGCAAGTGTTAAAATTTTTCGATCTGACTCTGGTGGTGAGTACATGTCTCATGAGTTTCAGGAATACCTTCAACAAAAAGGCATCTTGTCTCAACGGTCTTGTCCCAATACCCCTCAACAAAATGGCACGACAGAACGTAAGAATCGTCATTTGCTTGATGTAACACGCACCTTACTTCTCCAAGCTTCTGTACCATCCCGATTTTGGGTGGAGGCTCTTTCCACGGCTGTCTTCTTGATCAATCGTATTCCTTCTACAGTTATTGATCTTGATTCTCCTTTCTTCCGTCTATTTAAAATTCATCCTGATTATAGTGTTTTACATACTTTTGGGTGTGTGTGTTTTGTTCACTTACCTCCTTTTGAAAGGCATAAGCTTGGAGCACAATCCGTTCAATGTGCATTTATGGGATATAGTAGCTCTCATAAGGGATTTGTGTGTTATGATGTCTCTAACCATCGTTTTCGCATTTCTAGAAATGTGACATTTTTTGATAATCAGTTTATGTTTCCCTGTGGTTCTCCTGCCATTAATGATATTGTTACTCTTCCTAAGTTTTCTATTATGCCTCAAGCTATAGAACGTTATAAACCAGGTCATGTATATGTCAGAAAACACAGACAACAGGTTCCCACACCCCTTCCCGATGCTGAACTGCCACCTGATCCTGTACCGGTTGAACCACGACGTTCTGGTCGAATATCCCGCGCACCAGATAGATATTCACCAGACAGGTATGATTCCTCACATACTTCTCTGACTGCCACACTCTCTAGCATATCTATTCCTACTTGTTACTCACAGGCTGTTAAAGATGTGCGATGGATAAAAGCAATGACTGAAGAGCTCCAAGCTCTTCAAGAGAATTTCACATGGGATATCGTCACTTGTCCTCCAAATGTAAAACCTATAGGTTGCAAATGGGTGTATTCTGTGAAACTGAATTCTGATGGGTCCCTCAACCGTTACAAGGCTCGTTTGTTGCGTTAGGAAACAAGCAGGAATATGGAATTGATTATGATGAGACATTTGCACCGGTTGCCAAAATGACAACTGTCCGCACAATCATGTCTATAGCTGCTTCTAATGGGTGGACTCTTCATCAAATGGATGTGAAGAATGCTTTTCTTCATGTTGACCTGACAGAAGATATTTATATGACTCCACCTCAAGGCTTATTCTCTTCATCTAAAGGCGTGTGTAAGCTCAAACGCTCCTTATATGGTTTGAAACAGGCACCTCGAGCATGGTACGAGAAATTCCGCGCCACTATACTTGAATTCTCCTTTACTCAGAGTCAGTATGATTCATCTTTATTTATTCATTGCACATCTGCGGGTATTGTTCTGCTTCTTTTGTATGTTGATGATATGGTTATTACTGGTTCGGATCATGCTTCCATTCAGCGACTTAAGCAACAGCTACAGGCCTCATTTCATATGAAAGATCTGGGTAATCTACATTATTTTCTTGGTCTTGAGGTTCATTCTACATCCAAGGGCATCTTTCTCCATCAACACAAGTATGCTACAGATTTGATTTCTATGGCCGGTCTTGAATCGGCTAATCCAGTAGATACTCCTCTTGAGGTTAATGTTAAATATCATCGTGATGATGGGGATCTGTTGCCTGATCCCTTATTGTATCGACAACTTGTGGGTAGCCTCAACTACTTGACTATTACTCGCCCTGACATATCTTTTGCTGTTCAACAAGTAAGTCAATTCATGCATTCTCCTCGCCATCTTCACTTGGCTGCAGTTCGTCGTATAATTCGCTACTTAAAAGGAACCTCTCACCGCGGATTATTCTTTTCCGTTGGAACTTCTCTTCAGTTGAGCGCTTATAGTGATGCTGATTGGGCAGGGTGTCCTGATACTCGTCGATCTGTTACTGGTTGGTGTATGTTTCTTGGTTCTTCATTGATCTCTTGGAAAAGTAAGAAGCAAGCAAGAGTTTCTAAATCTTCTACTGAATCAGAGTATCGTGCCATGTCTGCTGCGTGTTCAGAAATACTTTGGCTTCGTGGTCTTTTGGCTGAACTTGGATTTCCCCAAACAGAGTCAACTTCACTTTATGCTGACAATACAAGTGTCATCCAAATTGTTGCAAATCCTGTTTTTCATGAACGCACCAAACATATCGAAGTTGATTGTCATTCAATACGTGACGCCTACGATGATCGAATAATATCACTTCCTCACGTCAGTACGCAGTTGCAGGTTGCAGATATTCTTACCAAGGCTGTTCCACGCCCAAGACATCAGTTTCTTGTTAGCAAATTGATGCTCCTTGACCAGCCGCGTCAATTTGAGGGGGGATGTTAATTAGGAAATAATCTTTGCAGTTATTGTGAATAATTTACATTTATAGAATAGGAAATTAGTCATTATAAATTGTAATTAGTCATTATCAGCTATAATTAGTTATTATGAGTTGTAATTACCGACACTATTATATATAGTATGAAAGGCAATGAGAAAGGCATCAAGCCAAATTTCGTGAGAATGATTTCACCTGAGCTATATATATAGAACTATTCTAGCTGTACCTTCCATTACTATGAAGTTCATTATATGAGTGGAACTTAGAACTATTCTTTTGCACTTATGTTCCTTTTTTTTCCTTTCTTTTTGATCTTGTTATCTAAGGATTCTTGATCTTCTCAAGCTTAGAGCTTTGTCAAGTATCCCAATGCTTACATTCTCACCTTTATACAAATATTATGAAGTTATACTTTTTAGACCATGTGGTCTAGAGTCTGGTCCTTGTTACCTCCATTGTTCTTAACAGAAGTTAAGTGCTACTTCTGGTGGTGATTTTTGTTTCCATTTCCACCAATAAAATAAATAAATAAGTACTGGCAAGAGACCCGTGCATTCACATTACAGGATTCGAATCCAAAACCTTTCGTCTTGGAGGGAAAATATCATGCCTCTTGGTTGTTGGATATTCTTTGATAAGAGTGAAAATATGAAGATAATAGAAATTAAATAATATAAATAGAGAATTGGAAAAATATTAATGAAGAAAGAGAGAGTGAGATATTAGATTAGAAGAGATATAACTTAAATTTAAAATGTGAAATTAAAAGAGGAGAGAAGTAAAGTTAAAAGAGAAGAAAGAAGAAAATTTTAGGGTGGGTGGGGTAGCTCAATTGGTACGTACTAGTTGAGCTAAATGGGTGTAAAATCCTCATCTAAGGTCCAATTCATGGCGGGATCCTTTATTTATTAATGTAAATAAGTTATTGATATTTATAATTCAACAACTTTTAAGAAAAAATGTTAGAAAAAAAAATGAAAAGAGAGAAAAGTGAAAATTGAAAATAATAAATAATGAAAAAGTAAGAGAGAGAAGACAAGTGAAAGTAAAAAAAAACTTAAAAAATGAAAAAGTAAGAAAGATAAGTGAAATGGAAAGATAAAAATAATAAACAATGAAAAGTAAAACATTAAAATGACTAATTTGCTCCAAAAAATTGATTTTAATTATTTGAATGATGGATAGAATCGTAACCTATGAAATTAAAATTTTGGAATAGATAGTAGAGTAGAGAAGACATTATGAAATGTTTTTGAAAATGTATTTTAAAAATAAACAGGAAACTTTTTAAAATTTTGAAAATTTCCAGATGTTTTTCATTGTTTTTGGAAATGCTTTCTCTCTAGTTAGATTATATCTTCTCTTTATCACTATTTTAAAAGAAAAATCCATATCCATCATTCCAGCTAGGTATTCCAGCTACCTAGGGATGGCAATTTGACCCATCTTCAATGGGCACCCACAAAATTACTCATAATAGGTAGGGTAAAAATCCGCAAAAATGCGCATGGGCACGGGCTCGGGTAATTACCCACAAAAATAAGCGGGTATGGTGCGGGTATAGGCACCTTGGTACCCACCCTGTCCCATACCCGCACAATATATATTTATGTATTCTAATTTATATTTATGTATTTTAATTTATATTATTATATAAAAAGTAAGAGAACCCAAATTTCAGCACAGTGTACCTTAGACTTGTACATTAAATTACTCATGTGTTATACGCCTTACAACTTAAGCTTTTGGGCTTTTGGGATAGTTGGTTCATGATGAAACCTATAATCAATCCACCTAAATAGTGAAAATGAATTAACAATTCTGTCATTTGTAAGTAACTGGTTAGAGTTTCATGCAACTTCTTAACTTCTTGATTTCATTCAGTGTTTAACTCTTACATACCTGGTCATTACAAGCAGCTCCTGATCTTAGTGGAGAATTGGATCCTCGCGTCACTCCTATCACATTCAATCCAAGTGATATACATGGTTCTTTGGGCAAAGGAATGGATGACAAGGACGCAAACTGTTGGACTTCTCCTAGTGGAAAAGGATTTATGATTAGAGGAAAGAACTATCTTAAAGATAACTCTAAGGTGAGTTAACCCTTTAACTTATTTGGCTATAGGGGAAAAGGACAACAATACGTTTTTTTAAATGTTTGATAGGCAATGCCATTATAGCCTGCCTTCAATCTAATAATGGAGGTATATTAGGGGTTTCAGGTTCACTGCTCATTTAAACTCTGCCATTATTTTATTTTTGCAAATTCATATATCAACCTCTTTTAATTTTAAAACTATGTTATTTTAACTAATATCTTTCTGTATTTTTGAATAGTTTTTGCCCATACGTTACTTTCTTTTGCCCTCCTTGAATGTATTTTACATTCTTGCAATTTACTTTCCATTGCCATTTACAAAATTTGTCATGCAGGTAGTTGGAGGAGATCCTCTTCTCAAGCTCATAGCAGTAGATTGGTTTACAGTCAACAAATCTGTCGATAGGATTGCCCTGCATCCAAAGTGCTTGGTTCAGGTAGCATTAAATTTTCAAGACTTTATCTCTTTAATCCTCAAATATATCATTGTAAAATATCCTTGGGGAAACATGCTCAATTGCTTTGGACATATTACTAAATGACTTTGCTAAACCACCAATTAACCCAAGGATTCAGATTCTCATGTTCCCACTGCTGCAGAAATAGTAGTTTAAGGTAAAAATTAGTGTGTTTGATATAGCCTTCATTAGCTCCTTATTCCAATGGAGCTTTTATACCTCAGTTTGTCACTGCCTTATTTATAAGCCCAGCTTGGTATAGTTTCACTGTTTTAAGCAATTATGTAACACATCATGTATTTCCTGCATGGTTGTGCTTCTTTAATGTCCATGGTTTCACACTTATGGAGCCGGATGTTTTCGTTGTGCTGCCTAAGGGGTTAGGTTTTTACTGTCGAAGGATATTAGAGTTTCCTTAGTATTTATTATTAATATCAGTTTCATTTTAGTTCAGTATAAGTTTTATTTTATTTGAGTATATCATTCCTTGATTTAAGGAGTTGGCTTTGTGTACCTTTTATAAAAAGAGTACTCTTTTACTAAAATAACACAATTATCAGTTTCTACAGTTGTCTTAATATTTACTGTTTGTGACTCACATTCCAGCTCAAGATAATCTTACATATCCAAAGACCTAGCCCCTCTTCAAATTCATGTTTTTATGATATTCAAGACAAACTCAGGGTTCTTCCCGTTATCAGTAGAAAACACCCCGAGTTTATAGAGCGGCTAGGGCTGGAAATGAGTCGAGTCGAGTCGAACTCACCTCAGCTCGGCTCGACTCGTTAAGAATTGTTCGAGTTCGATACGAACTTTTTTTTAAGCTCAAACTCGACTCGTTATAAGTTCACGAACAGTTCGGTTCAACTCGTTAGGTTCATCTCATTAGGTTCAGCTCACATGATTCACGGACTTAAAAACTATTTTTTTAAATATATATATTTTTTAGTATATTTGACATTTTAAATAAATATATTTTTTAAAAATAAAATATTAAAATAAAATAAAAGTTATCATATTGAAATTTAACTTTATCTTTGAAATCTACTAATTCAAAACCTACACAACTTTCAAGAGATACATTTGAGAGTCTAATTCAAAAACTATTAAATTGAAGATTAAATTTGTCTAAGATTTAGAGTAAATATTTAAACATAATCTTAAAGACAATATAATTCTTCTCATATGTAATCGAGTTGACCCATGAATCTAACGAGTCGAACTATGTATAGTTCAAGTTCAGCTCATTTAGTTAACGAACTTAATTTTTCGCTCATACTCAACTCATTTGGTTCATGAACCTAGTTCAACGATTTAATTGTCGAATCGAATTCCGAACTATTTTCGAGTTGGTTCGGTTCATTGTCAGTCCTATAGAGTGGAGATAGACTATTATGTTCTATATGAGCTATTGTCATGGTATGTTGTACTGTGTTAAGGAAGGTCAGCTGCGGCGTACCCTAATATATTTACCCACACAAAATTACGTGGTTCGGAACCTCTTACCTACATTCACGGATGTATTCTAACAAAATGTATTCATTATCTCAAATAAGATTACCGGGATTGCAACTCATTCAAATTGTGCATCACCTTATAAACTTGACTACCCCACTTGTGAGCTATGAGCTACAAGTAATGATAACACACAAACATCTCACTATAAGCGATCCCTCACATAATTCTCTTCTCTAGGACATGTTTCGGGATGTTTTTTTTTGTAAGAACAACAACCCATATAGAAGATTAAAGAAACGAAACTAAACAATGAATACAATTGATCTTTGTTTATGCAGTTTGATTATTGGTGCTTACATTTGCGACTATAGAGCAACTTTAGTTCCATTTTATTTCTGTGATAAATTAGAGTTACGGAGTTACAAGTAATATATATTATCACAATTCATAATGACTAATTATAATTCATAATGCCTAATTACAATTCATAATCATTATTCTTCTAATCTAGGAAATTAAATTATTCAAAATAAAGGAGAAGATTAATTCCTAATTAACAACTCCCCTCAAATTGATGCGGTTGGTTAAAGAGCATCAATTTACTAACAAAAAAACTGATGTTGTGAGTGTGGAACAACCTTAGTAAGAATATTTGCGACCTATGATTGAATACTGACATGGGGAAGTGATATCAGTCAGTCATCATAGGCGTCACAAATTGAATGACAATAAACTTCTATATGTTTGGTGCGTTCATGAAAAACAGGATTTGCAACAATTTGACTGACACTTGCATTGTCAGCATAAAGTGAAATTGGCTCTGTTTGGAGAAATCCAAGTTCAGGTAAAAGACCAGCCAAAATACTTTTGGGCAAGCAGTTGACATGGCACGATACTCAGATTCAGTAGAAGATTTAGAAACTCTTGTTTGCTTCTTACTTTTCTAAGAGATCACTGAACCAAAAAAGATACACCAACTAGTGACAGATCAATGATTATCAAGGCATCCTGCCTAATCAGCCTATAAGCACTCAATTGAAGAGAAATTCCAACGGAAAAGAATAATCCACGATGAGAGGTTCCCTTCAAGTAGAGAATTATATGACGAACCACAACCAAGTGAAGATGGCGAGGAAAATGTATGAATTGACTTACTTTCTGAATAACAGAAGATATGTCAGAGCGCGTAATAGTCAAGTAATTAAGGCTACCTACAAGTTGTTGATACAATAAGGGATCAGGAAAAAGATCACCATCATCACGATGATATTTAACATTAACTTCAAGGGGAATATGGATCAGATAATGACTAATTATAATTCATAATGCCTAATTACAATTCATAATCATTATCCTTCTAATCTAGGAAATTAAATTATTCAAAATAAAGGAGAAGATTAATTCCTAATTAACAACTTCCCTCAAATTGATGCGGTTGGTCAAAGAGCATCAATTTACTAACAAGAAACTGATGTCGTGAGTGTGGAACAACCTTTGTAAGAATATCTGCGACCTACGATTGAGTACTGACATGGGGAAGTGATATCAGTTTGTCACAGATTGAATGACAATAAACTTCTATATGTTTGGTGCGTTCATGAGAAACGGGATTTGCAACAATTTGACTGACACTTGTATTGTCAGTATAAAGTGAAATTGGCTCTGTTTGGAGAAATCCAAGTTCAGGTAAAAGACCAACCAAAGTATTTTTGGGCAAGCAGCTCACATGACACGATACTTAGAGTCAGTAGAAGATTTAGAAACTCTTGCTTGCTTCTTACTTTTTTAAGAGATCAGTGAACCAAAAAACATACACCAACTAGTGATAGATCAATGATTATCAAGGCATCCTACCTAATCAACATCACTATAAGCACTCAATTGAAGAGAAATTGCAATGGAAAAGAATAATCAACGGTGAGAGGTTCCCTTCAAGTAGAGAATTATACGACGAACCATAACCAAGTGAAGATGGCGAAGAAAATGTATGAATTGAATTACTTTCTAAAAAACAGAAGATATGTCAGAGCGAGTAATAGTCAAGTAATTAAGACTACCTACAAGTTGTTGATACAATAAGGGATCAGGAAAAAGATCACTATCATCACGATGATATTTAATATTAACCTTAAGGGGAATATGGATCAGATTAGCCGATTGGAGGATTAGTCGTAGTAATCAAATTTGTAGCATACTTGTGATGATTGAGAAAAATGTCCTTGGATGTAGAATGAACCAAGACCAAGAAAATAATGTAGTTTACCAAGACTTTTCATATTAAATAAAGCCTGTAATTGATGTTTAAGTCTCTGAATAGAAGCATAAGCATGATCACAAGCAGTAATTACATTGATATATATATATATATATATATATATATATATATATATATATATATATATATATATATATATATATATATATATATATATATAGTTCATTCTAAAATAGAATAGGATATACTTTAGCATATTTTCGATGTAATTAATGCGATAACATAGTGCTATTCTGAAAACATAGGGTTCCTCAAATGTCTTTTAGTTTCTCGTATATATAACTATATATAAAGGAGATATATCCTTTTGGACTCACTTATATTTGTTACAATATTACCCTTAAAAAAACTATCATACAACCAACTTTCTACTCAACTAAAGATAAAAAAAACTGTTGATGAATAGTTCACATAACCAATAGTTCACATTCTGCAATAGGAAATGAAAAAAATTTAGATAAAAGAAACCACTTAAATTATAACTCCTGCATCTCATTGATATACCACCACCAAAACCAATAATTAATTGCATAAAATGGTAACATGTGAGATAAATTGAAAAGAGGGTATACATTTCTCAAAATTCAGTATGAGGTTCATTCTCTCTCCTTTCTGCCTCCTTTCTGTCTCTATTTTCTTTTTATTGATTCTCTTTGTATTTTCTCCTCCCCTTTAAAATTGCAAGAGGGTATACTGCAAATCTCGATAGTATGAGGTTCATTCTCTCTCCTTTCTGTCTCTATTTTCTTTTTATTGATTCTCTTTGTATTTTCTCCTCCCCTTCAAAATTCAGATTTGCTTTTTGTTGTTTGAAAATTAATTCATTTTAATTTAATTTTAGTTTGGTTAAATTTTGGACTTTTTACTTTATCATTCAAAATGAGTGATATTATGATTTAACAATTATGGTACAGGTTCAGGTAATAGAACCAGGTGCATGTTTTTTCTTTTGCATCCAAATTAATTAAAAAAATTCTCTTTTGTTTAACTGTATACGTTTATGGTAACTATTTTAGTTTGTGTTATATATTGTTTTATTTGCCATTTATCCATTGGTTTTACACGGCCTAATACCATTTAAATGAAGTTGGCGTTTTCATGGCCTAATATCATGATTTAAAAAATATTAATAAAGATGACTGTTTTCTTTCAAAATTGTCCCTTAAATAACTTAACTTTTTTTTTTACAAAAATTACCCCATAAATGAATAACTTTTCAGCATTTCAAATTAAAAAAACTGAAATAATGATAACTTCTCACAATTTATACAATATTTTTTTTATAAAATTATTCATCAAATTTATTACACAAATAATTTAAATTAAAATCAAAACTAATAAAAGATATCCGTTTATATTTTTGACGCATGTGTTCATTAAAAAAAACTGACAAACGGGCACGAGAGAGTGTCTGGTTGGACGCTAGTATTTCAATAATAGCCATATCTTCAATATACAAACGAAGTAAGACATTTCCCGTAGATGTATTTTCTATAATCTATAACATATATAAAGGCAAAACATGGTGTTTTGGTGTAGCCTATTTCTCTACCAATTTTACCCTTACTTTAATCTATAACTTACTCAATAACTTCTATTAACTTCTTACGTAATTTCCTACCGAACTTTCTACTATTAACTTCCTACTTAACTTCTATTTAAAATTAATATTAAATAAAAAATATCATTTTAATTTTTACGTGTGTACATTAAAAAAGCGGACAGACGTGCCCGTCTGAACGCTAGTGAATAAATAGAGAGGAATCATACGACTCTGAGTAAAGGAGAACTCAAGTATAGTAGAGCGAAATTTCTCATATCATGCTCTGGGTGCTTGTTTCAAACCATATGAGGAGCCTTTAAGCTTACACACACCTTTGGATGAAGAGAACAAACCTTGAGGGTGTCATATAAATGTCTTTAGTCAAGTCACCATGAAGAAAAACATTTTTCACATTCATTTGATGAAGAGACCATCCAATGGATATTACCGTGCGAACAATTGTCATTTTGGCATCCGGTGTTCAGATATTCGACTAGAACGTCGTGGTTCAACCGGTACAGGATTAGATGGTGGTTCAGCGTTGGAAGGGGTGTGGAAACCTGCTTTCTGTGTTGTCTGACATATACATGATGTGGTTTATAACGTGCTATAGATTGAGGCATAATAAAAAACTTAAGAAGAGTAACAATATCATTTATGGCAAGAGAAACACACGGAAACATAAACAATCTCATTTCTCCAAGTAACATCTTTTAACGATGGTAGTGTTTTCAAGATTTGTTAGATTCATCCATAGAGTATACCTCTTAAACTTCCACTCTCTTGCATTTATTTGGAAATTTGAATTGATTTCGCAGCATACTGTCATATTATTGGTATTGCTTGTAGCTTATAGAATGCTAAGTTGGTTAAGTATTAGTTGAAATGGATAACTAACAATAGCAGTTATTCTGTGAGTTGGTATTGGTGTCTAGACTGTTCTGTCAGTGGCTTGCGCTGACATTGTATCAAAATCTAGGCTTGATGTTAAGCTTCCTCATCCAAAGAATCAGAATCAGGATATCAAAAATCAGAAATCAGATCATCAAAGATTTCTCTGTTTATCTCTCTCAAATTCTCTAAACTGATAGATTTCTTCAATTTCAACCATGAAAATCTTCTACTTCTTTCCTCCTACATCCTCTTTTTTTTACATTTTATGCAGAGCTATATCTTTTCAGCAAATGCCTAAATAATGTTATTTTGTTGCTATTTAAACCTTTTAATCCAGTGCATGTTAAAATTTGTGTGGTTGGAATTGTTTGTGTATTTCATCTTGATTTCTGGAAACCATAAGCTGGAGATTATGAGATATTATTAATTAATTTATATCATTATTGCACTGGCTAATACTTTCTCTCTGATTTTCAGTCAGAAGCCGCCAAAAAGCTTCCATTCATCCTTGTCATCAATCTCCAGGTATGGATGCCATTATTGTTGTTGCTGACCCACACACTTACACATCGTTGCAAAAGGATGTTAAACATGTTGAGACGTCTGAGTGAAAAAATCATTTTTAGGTACTTGATTATCAACTGTAGTTTTTTTTTGAAATGGCCAATCTTAAATATTGCATCCATGAGTTTCATTTTGATAATTAGGCAATATTTCATATTGCATTCAGTTCATTATGATAATTAGACAATGATCAACACTTAAGTAATTTAGAATTTCATATGTTCCAACTGTACCATATTGAGGGAAGATTAGTTAGCCTTGGAATAAGTCTCAGTTTTTATCCCTTATTTTCCCAATCTGTAGTAGATTGGTTGGTATTTCATAACTCACTCTGCCTTTATATCATAGCATTGTATGACTCCATATGAATAAGAGCAAGTATGATTCCTCTGAAAATCATAGTTTAAGTGTATAAACCAGTTTCTCATGGGAATTTTCTTTTGCTTTTTTCTTCATATTATTTTTAATTTTCAGGTTCCTGCTAAACCAAACTACAGCCTGGTTCTATATTATGCAGCTGACAGGCCGATAAATAAAAAATCTCTGTTGGCTAAGTTTGTTGATGGAAGTGATGTGTTTCGGGACTCAACGTTCAAACTTATTCCAAGTATAGTCGAGGTGTGCGATTCTTGATAAAAAGTTATAAATAAATAAATATATGTATGCTCTGTTTGATGCCCCTTATGTCTTTGAGTAGCTAATATTTTTCAATGGGCATAGGGATATTGGATGGTCAAGAGGGCTGTTGGAACCAAAGCTTGCTTGTTAGGGAAAGCCGTGACTTGTAAATACTTCAGACAAGATAACTTTTTGGAGGTAATATTACCTTGGCATTTCTTCTCTGTTTTACTTTGGCAAGAGTAGGTGTGAGAAGGTGATAGAAAGAGAAATAAAACTGAAGAGAGAATTCCAGAGAATCTGAAACTGGTTTTCTGAATTCTGAAGTTTTTATTTTAATTTGTTACACAAGGTTAATGTTAGAGTGGTAACTGGCTGTTTAAGCTGTTAGATTCTGTTACTAACAGATTCCGATTACTAAGCCACATTAAACTTGTCCCAAAATACTAAGGCTCTTTCTTGATAAATAGCTTATTTACAGCTTACACCACAAGCACTTATGAATAAGCTAGTTCTATAGCAAAAGATAAAATAAAGTTAAATTATTTTTGTATAAGGCTTTAAGCTATATATGTTGTTTTCATTAGTTATTTTGGATAACTTGTGAAAATAAACTGAAAACTACTCGAGAGCAATATCATAAGTTGTTTTTTAAGTTCTTTCAAAGGTCTCGGGAACTTACGCCAGTAAATAAGTTCAAATAGACCAATCCAAATAGGCCCTAAGGGCATCTAGTTTTGGGTCCGGTCAGCCAAGCTATAAGCCCCAGGCCCATTTTGCATATTTTTTAGCAGGAACCGCAAGAGAAATACAACTAAAAGTAAAAATGCATAAATATACTTCAAATATTCTTCTCCCTTCAAACTCAGGGCGAGTAACCAATAATTAGCTTTGAGACAGAGCCTTAGGATGTCAACCCACTAATCCTGTGCAAGAATATGGCAAACTGCCAAACTTTTGTTTAGAACCTTTTCTCTGACAAAAAAATATCAAACTCCTAATGTTTGATGCAAGAATGTAGTATACTACTATTGCGTAACATAGGAGTAGAAATTCCTTTCGTAGTGCCCACTGCCCATATTTACGATAGCAAACAAGTCTCATATGTGTTTGGACTAGGAGAGCAAAACAGAGTCATCATTAAAATGTTATTATTCAATCTCCAAGAAATCGTCAAAAGCTGACCAAGATTCTGGATAGAGGCGGTTGAATTGGCTTAATAATCCCAATCATGATAATGTCATCAACATAGGAGTAAGGCTAGTAGATAATGAGCAATACCATGAAGTGTGAACAAAAAGGATCGATTTACTAGGAGTGAACCCAAGTTGCATTCAGACCAAGTCCAAGGTGCTTGTGTAAGACCATACAGAGACCATGTAGTATAAAATGGATCGGGATTGTTATTAATATCAGGCTAATTTCAGGTATCCCATATAAATTGCGCAATCCATGCTGTTGCTTACAAAACTTTAACATTCATGCGTGTTTTTTAATTTGAATTTTCCTAATCATTGTAAATTCCCAATTCAAGTTTGTTGAAATTGTGCGCAATAATACACTAGTTGGTTGTTGAGCTGAGCTCCGTATACAATATACTAGTAATTTATCAGTCACTTCATGTTGTCCAATAAATTTCACTTTCATCTGTCAAAAATGATTAAACTTTCAAGGTGATTTTTGTATTATGCAGATTGACGTGGACATTGGATCATCCTCTGTAGCTAGAGGTGTCATTAGCCTTGTTCTAGGATATGTTACAAGCCTAGTCGTCGACCTTGCCATTTTGATAGAGGTTTGTGCTTTCTGACTCTGGTCATAATTATTCGGGACAAACTATCTACTAATGGTTTCAACTTCCCTAGTTTCTTTTGATTTAGACTTGATATTTGGTGAGAATATGGAAACTGTGATTTTATGGAACTGTGCTTTTATGCAATTCTTATGTGTATTGGTAAGGGAGGGATGCTCTTCAAGAGTGCCTCTGTTTACCCTTTTAATTTCATTATGGGATAGGATTGTATTTATGATTTCTATTTAGTACCAAGCTCGTGATCATATAAAGGGAATTCCCATGTACTAATATGTGAAGAGAGATTGGAATTTGGATCTCTTCTCACAGGTTATCTTTTATTTGGTAAAAAGATGGCTTAGCTCTTATTAAGAAGGCATATACCATAATTATGTTAAAAATATATAAAATGAAAAACTAACTATCAAAACATGTATATTTTTTAGAAGGGAATGGCTGGAACTGGTTATTTCAACATCCCTCTCTGACAGAATAAGCAATTGAAGTAATTCTTAGGTTTTTACAAGCCTGTATCTAGCCTAAGCAAAAATAAGCTGACAACCCAACTTTTGAATTTGTTGTCCCTCTTTTATTTTTGTTGCCATAGTTGTTAATTTATAAGTATGAACAACTTATTTACATTAATACATAATGAGAAATAGAATGAAATGTTTACTACCTCCATCTAAAGCTCAAACTAATTGAACTACCTCTCTCTCCCAAAATTTATCCTTTCATTATAGCAATAACATGCAAAAGATTTGCAGTTTTTATATCTTAAGGCTTCTTGGTGCATGTTATATCTTGCATGATTGTGTTTACATCTATTACATTTTAATGTTGTGTGGCAAGTATTCAAGATACGCATCAACCGTGATTCATCAGTATATACTTATGAAATATTTCAGATATTGACTCATGTTATATTTGCAGGCACAACAAGAGGCGGAGCTGCCAGAATACATTCTTGGAACTGTCCGATTAAACCGTTTGAAGCTTGAATCTGCCATACCATTGGAGGTTTAAGGTGTTCTGCCAGAAATATTAAATCACTCAGTTCCATTTCATTATTATGACTCATTATTAAGAAAGAAAAATCTGAGTGAATTTTCTGCATATACTTTGGTTTCTGTTTTTTATTTTTGTTTCTCTTTTGTATCTCATTCAAGTATATTCCTCTGTTAAATCAACATGTTTTCTCCTTAGGAATGTGTTTGGACGAGGGAATGCTATTTTTTTTGAGGGAATTCAAATTCCTCTATGTAAATTTCATTGTGTTAATTAAAAACATTGGAGAAATCTCAAAACTATAAGAATTTATAGAGTATTTTGTCTAAGTTAAATTTATGAAATTTAAAAAAAAACACATTAAAATAAGAATTTTGAAATGTCTCTCTTATTCTATATACCTTGTGAATATCAAATTGATTCTTATAATATTTTAAATTTGCAAGTTGATCTTTATATTTTTCAAAATTGTCAAATTGATTTATAAAAAATTTCAAAAAGTTGAAATTTAGCTCTTCAAATTTTTCAAATTGATTCATATTTTTTAAACTTGACCTAAATTATATGACATTAAAAAAAATGGCTCAACCAGAAGTCGAAGCATGATACAAGGATCCGTGACCCGTGTCGAGAATCTTATATGTAGGGTTGGTTGGGGAAAGATACCTTTGTACGATTTCTGATTAGTGACTTATTTGAGTTGGTGAACTCAAGTGTATATGTTTTTATACAATGTGAAAATCCTCTAGATGCTTAAGTTTCTACTCTTTTTAAACGACTTAAGTTAAGGAAATTGATAGGAAACTCTATAGAGCCGAGTGAGTCTCTACTCTCTTTGAACGACTTAAGTTAAGAAAATTGATTGGAAATTCTATAGAGCCGAGTGAACCCATAAGATAGGGGAATTTATTGAGATTATCATCTCACCTCAATATCATTGTTATTTTTCAGGTGTTATTTGCATGTTATATGCAAGAGAAGCTATCTATTGATGTTTTGAAGGATTTCAATTATTGTGATCTTCTGCTGTGGATTATGTGCAATCGAAGATATTGTACATAGCTCTTAATTTTATTTAGGCGATATTGTATATCATGTGTCATGGATATATTTTTAGTTTTGACGTGAATATAATGATGTTGTTAGACACCTGTGTTCTATTAGTACCAAATTAATATCTCGTATAATGTATTTTTTAGATGTATATTATATGGGGTGTTACAATTCTTCTCTCTCACCCAAATTCATATATGCGTTTCTGTTCGTTTTTTAGCTTTCATAGTAAACGTTCATGTACTTTGTATTAGTTGTGTCGTTCATCAAATCATGTGTAAATTTTTCCATGTTTGTTGTTCTATGGCTCAAAGCAATAGTTCAATGTCGTCGTATGATTTCATAGTTAATTGTTCATATCCATCGTAATCTGTATATTTTTTCAAAATCAAGTTGATTTTAGTTATGATATAGAAATTATTGATTGGGTTAGTGTTTGTATTTTATTTAAATTCATAAATTCTAAAATTGATTTGAATTCTTACCCATAAGGTATCAACAGATGAAGAACTATGTCAAGATGTTTGCTAAGAACGCACAAGAAGAAATGTGAAAAATAGTCACCAACATTATAATTGAACATATTTTTCAGTTTTGTTTGAACAATACCATGTAATCTGTAACAAGTTGTGAGCATATAGCTGGAAAGAGCACATTTTGCAAGTGCCTCAAAAGGTTGGAACTTCGCTATCCTTTCATAATATAATCATAGAATTATATTGGTAATTTATATAAAAGGTTGGAACTTCGCTATCCTTTCATAATATAATCATAGAATTATATTGGTCATTTATATGTTTTCCCCTTACAATTTAAATATGCTATTTGTCTTACCACTCCATAGAAGAACCTTATTTGTCATCTTTACAATATATCTTCATAAGAAGGGCAAGCACCTCGTTCCACAACAAAGATGTTTTCAACTAACACCTTATATTTCTAAAGTTCATTGCGAGTAAACAGTAAACACTCAAGAAGATTTTTGTATTCTTGCAATTTTACATGAAACAAACAAAAACATTAGCATTCTTGCAATGTCGTCAACTTTCACAGGATCATAAATTTTTTCAAGGTATTTCACACTTATGTCATAGTCATTTGAACTTTTCTCCAAACTGAGCAACTCAATTTCTAATATGAGATTTTGCTCAATTTCTAATATGAGATTGATAAAGGATCATATATAGTAGAGCCACTCAGATTTTCTATGAGGTGATAAGCAATGGTTATATCTCTAACACCTTTCAATTCAATGCTGCAACAACATGATCTGCAATCTCCTGATAATCTCTAAAAATAAAAGGCATTGTAGAGCCACTCAATTGAATCTTTATGGTTTTATTGAATTAGGAATTTATATTTTGATAATGTGTTAATGAATTGTTAGCATTTTAATTGAATACAAAGTGTTTCTTCTCTCTTAAACCATATTTATTGCATACAAATTGTCTCATTACTGTTATTTTACTACCTTCAGACCCTCTTGTCCTAACATCACTTTTTCTATGGCAAATCTTTTACATTTACCATACCGATAATAAAATTCATAAGCTCATCAACAATACCAAATTCCATAGGACGAATTTCATCAAAAGTAATGGAATTAATACTCATCAATCTATCCGCTACAACTGCATCTAGTTCAATCAAATCATCATTCTGAATATTATCAGCATCATCACCATCATTTGAACTTTGATACCCATTAGATACCGAATAACTTTCATCATCACCATCATTCAATTCAACATCAGATGTATCATCATCAGTGGAATGAACGTCATTGGAATCAAAATCGTCGTAGTTTTCCATAATAAACTTGAATTAACACAATTTTTAACACAACAAAACATAACATCAATCACAATACCTAATTTCCTAATTAAATCAAAGGTAACTAAAAATATTGAAAATTTGAAATCATCAAATACGAAACCCATGTACAGAAAAAAAAAATCAAGCATAATCCCTAATTCACATATTGAAAACAATTTCAAGCATAAACCCTAATTCACATATTGAAATCAAATTTAACACCCCAAATACTTTATTCGAAATTTAAACTAACAAAATTAAAAATAAAAATCATTAGATACGAAACCCATATACAAAAAACAAATTCAGACATAAACCCTAATTCCCAAATTGAAATCAAATTTAACACCACCAATTAAACTTTATACGAAATCAGTAAATCTTAATAATTAATTTCAAATAAATATAACAAACATTTTTGTATTTACCTTGACAACTGTGTTCTCAATACGAACACTAGCAAACTGATTTTTTGTTCGATTTTGCCCTTGAATGCAGATTTTTGTTGGTGTTATGTTTGATGAGCTATTGAATGATAGAACATCAAAAGAATAGCAAACATCAGTTTGTTCAACAATGGCGAACAAACACGATGAATATGATGTTGATGTTTGTTTGCAATGTTGGAAAAGAATATTGTTCCGGTATGGGCCTCACCTCGACAGGCCCAATACCACATGCGGCCCAACAAGCGAACTAGGCACGCCTGGCACGCGCCCCTTCGAACGAGCAGGAGCTGGCCGCCGAGCACAAGCTACATCTCCACATCCTTTTTTGTCGTCCGCCACACCGGACGAGCAGGACCACCCGGGCTCCCCTCCGCGGGGAGAATAACGTGCTCGACGCACGTTCTCCACGTGCTCCCCTCCGCGGGGACACGTCACCGACCAGCTGCCCACCTCCGAAAGAGCAGGTCAAACCCACTTTCCGGGGATCTAGGGACAGTTGAACTAGGGCGAAGACCACGTCCTGGTCTTCACTACGCCACATAAGCCCTAGCAGTCATTAGGGTTGGGCCTGGTCATCCAGTTCAGCCCTAATGACCGTTGGCCCAGCGCTGGGGTCTCTCTATAAATACCCTCTTCATCAAGAGGGTCAGGTAATTCTTCTTGCCCCTTTTTCTGTACTATTGCTTCCTCTCTGTCCAACTTCTTACTTGGGCGTCGGAGTGCTCTGCAGGTACACCCCCCTCCTCTTTCTCACCCCGGCAAACAGATAACAGCCCAACGGAGTGTGGCCAGTCCGTGATCCCTCCTGATCAGGTCAGATCAGTGGCGCCGTCTGTGGGAACCTGAAACTTCCCCGTTACTCCGAGCAGAAAACCAAAAGTTTCACCAAACCTCCACGGTCATGGCCAGCCCACGCCGCGATGACACTCCGCACGATCTTGCGCTCAACACCGCCACCAACGGGAAGCAGATGAGAACGGCACGTCTGACTGAAGCCGACGAAAGGGACGGGTGAACTGCTTCACCATCATCCGAGGAACGGCCCCTACATGCCGACCACCGCCCCCCGAGCCCACCAGCATTCCACCCCGTTCCCATCCCGGCGGGAGCAGACCCAACGGTAGCCGCTCTCTTTGCAGCCATCAACCAGACGAACCAGCTGCTGTTCCAACAGAATGCTAGAATTGGAGCATTGGAATGCGTCGGCTCCCCGAGGTACCCCCAGCGGGAAGACCAGAACGGAGGTTCGAGGAGCCCCTCACCTCGACTCAGGAACCGCCGTCCACGGCTGGAGAAACACCGCCCGCAGACGACACGGGAGCGCACCAGATCCCCAGCGAGACACGGTCGCGGGAGGAACCAGAACGCCGCGGCGATCCCAACCGAGGAACCCCGAGGCGGGAACTCAGGCCGAAGATCAAGGACCCGAAACCCGGGACACACCGCGAACGGCTCATCTCCCCTGAGATCCCCGGCGCACAGCGACGAGGATGACTACCGCACCCCACTATCCCGGGAGATCATGGCAGCCCCCATACCCCAGGGAATGGAGAAACCACCGACGCTGTCAACGTACGACGGCACCTCCGACCCGGACGATCATCTGGAAGATATCGAGGCTATGCTCGACTACCGAAATGTCCGGGGAGCTATTAAATGCAGACTCTTCCCGACGACTCTGAGGAAAGGCGCTATGACCTG